TAATCCCATTGAAAACTTGAGGTCAATCATCAAGAGACGGCGGACAAACGAAAACCTTCTGACTAAATGCAAGCAGTGATTGAGCAGAATGGACGCTATCAGTCAGGATTTGGTCCAGAAGTTGATTGAGAGCAGCCAGGGAGAAATGTCCTGAAGAAGAGGAGTCAACACTGTAGATACTGACCTGCTGCATGAACTCATTCTGTCATTAAAAGCTTTTCTGGATGTGATGCAACATCTGACATGAAAACCAGAGGGCAGCAGATCAGAATATTTGTGTCATTCTCAATACTTTTGGCCATGAGTATACATAATTACAGGGTTGTTTAAACTTTGAACTCTAATATAATCTCTTAACAGGGTTAAATTATCACTTGGAGCTTTACTGTTAACCCTATTCACACATATCCAGTGTCTGACGCTGCAGGAACTGATGTCCTTTAAGACAGTTTGATTATTTTACTGACCCAGGTTCAGTGTTTGGCTGATTGTCTGAGCTGCAGTAAAAACAGATCAACAGTTTTACGGCATCCCTACAGAGTTTAGATCCTCAGCGTTGTTCCCTGGACTATAGATCTGCACAACAAGACGGAGGTTGTTCTGAACGACTTGACCAAAATAACTTTTAAACTTGAAATTTAGATTTTATTAAAATTTGTTCTGCATCAACATCAAGCATGTAGGATTTCACTCTAGGATTTGTTTCCATGACCTTAACTTAGACCGATTTATTTTGTTCACACAAGTATAAACAAAAATAAATTTTGTTAACAGCTCTCTAAACAATTTCAAGTGCAGCCTTGAAAAACAGTAAAAAATATATAACAGTAATGTAAACATATGAATGTATATTTACAGTTCTAACATCTCAGTTTGTTTTAAACCTCTGAACATTAGCTGCAGCTCTGCAGCTCTGCGTAGACGTTTGCCATCATCTCTAGTTTCTCAATATATGAATTTAGTTCCATTTTGAGTAAGTAAAATCTAGCAGATCTAGAATAAAGTGCTTATAATCCCATCCATATTGCTAGGAATTGAAGCAGGTACCTGATAAAGCAGAGGGATAAAAAAGGCTCTGCTCTCCCTGCTGAAGGTTCCCTATGAATGCAGGAGGGAACAGATTTCCTCAGGAAACCTAGTTTATCAGAACACCGATCAAAGAGCAGGCTTTCACCGAGTCAATGGTGTTCCAACGCGTTGGTTGTTGGCTTTTACATGCAGCTGACTGGGCGCGTCTTTACCTTTTGAATGCTCCCACACTAACATACGCGCCCTCACAGTCTCCTTTGCTGATATTCAGCAGCTTTGCCTTCCGGTCAGCAGTTGGGCATCAAAAACTTTCAAGTGGATTGATTGTGGGAGAAATGAAAGTTTCCTCTCAATCTTACCTCTGTCCTCCATAAATTTGTAGAGATGCTGGAGGAAGTTCTCCTTCTCCTCGGGGTCTGCCTCCTCCTCAGGCTAAATGGACAGAAGGTCAGAGAACAAGGCGGGTCATTAGACTTTCACTTCATGTCAACAAGCAGCACCAGAAAGCTGCTGGAAGCTGACACCCCACCGGTGTAAAAAAAAACGCTCGGCATACAGACTGAATGATTAGCTTTTCCTTGATCATTTCTATTCCTTTGTTTCTTTTTTAGAGATAATAAAGATGATTTTTTTAGGTCATCCGGAGGGCAACGTCTCTCCATGGAGCTCTGAACTGAACCAGTTATTAACTATTGTTATTAATGTGTTGCTGTCGTGATACTTTTGTCTTTAACTTTAGAACTTGATAAAGGATCGTTGCCACAGTAATGATTCCTGTTCTGTTCGGATGATAGATGCCAATTCAGAGCCCAGTGGGGAGAAAGTCACGTCTGAATGTCCTAAATAATCTCTGAAATCATCATTTTAACCTTAGTAACAAATCACCAACCATTTAGTTTGCAGAGTGTTTTTTAAGGCGTATGATGCGTCAGTCTTACGCAGGTCTACCTGGACTAAAGTTTTAGTCAGATAAATCGTTACATAACATATAAGTATATAAATATTTTGCATTTAAGATTTAAAAAAATAAAAAAAATCTGTCAATCTGCTCTATCAGAACTCAAGTGGAAAAGTTTTTGTTTCACCTGGTTTAATTTCTTAAAAAGTTTTCTTCAAAGACCCTTTGGCTATCCGATTATTAATCGAAAAACAATAATTGAAAGATTAATTGATTTGCAAAATAAACATTAGTTGCATCCCTAAACTGAAACACGAACATGTAAGTGAAACCCAGAATGATCTCAAAACTATCTGAATATGAAGGAAGGCAGAAAACCCACGGAAAAGAAGTTTATCAGGATTTAGGAGCTAATCCTGCTTAGTTGGTGCAGCTGGTTGGTCCTTAGTGAAGCTCTGTCCTTCATGCTGCCCTTCATATAAAATGGAAACATCCATACAGATGTCCTCCATGACCTTCAGAAACAGACAGGACTCTCCCCTCCAAACGATCCCAGCAGAAGGATCCTAGATTTAGATTTACTGGCCCGTTTGTCGCCTGGGGAAACTTTACCTCCTCTTTTATGTGCCTCTTTCTCTTCTCATCTTCAGCGTCTTCCTCCTCCTCCTCTGCCTCGCTATCCTTGTCATCTTTGTCATCCTCACTAGAGGAGTCTAGAATCTGACTCATGTCCATCTTCCAAACGTCTGGAACCTCCCGGCTCCTTAGAAACATCTGGGCTTCTTTAATACCTGCAAGACATGGAGAGGGGTTGAGTGGAAGAGGTGGAGACGAGCAGCGTGGGTGAGGAACAGGAAAACAAAGATTATCTCACCTTTCCTCTTGGAAAAATCGGACTTGGAAATGCTCATGGTGTTAACGACGTGGGCGTGTCTCCTCCCCACGGTGTAACTGCACGATGAGGACAGAAGGAGTCAGAAAGCGACTGGTGGGATATTTATGCGAACATGTTCAGAGAAACCATTGAAATGATTTGATCACAGAATCAACTTTCAGATGAAGCATGCACTGCAATACAGTCATGACCAACAAACTTGATTTTATTGGCACCAAATGCAACAATAAACGCAAAACATTTCAACAATCCAACGCCTCCAACCAAGAGGCAAATTCTACTGGAACTCCATTTTTAACAGAATCCACCGGAGCAAGTCACGCTCACCGCCTCATCAGTATTTCTTCATAACATCTAATTCTTTATAACATCTATCCAAAAAATAAGGAAATAGCTTAAAATCTCGAGGTCAATCCAAATTGTTGCTTCTGCACTACTGAACCTAAAATAACAAAAAATTTATCTAAAATCTTAAAGCCTTTCCAACTTTATACGCCCCTCAAATGCGCTTATCCTGTTTTTACAAATCTACTTCCTGTCTTTTTATATACTTGAAATTACAGTAATATGAATGTCTTTTCTTCTGTAAATATTGTATATCTTTTCCTGTATATTATGTATATATAATCTTTAAAATAAAAGCATGCATTGCAAAACCTGGACAGAGGACGAGGAAAAGGTTTAATCAAATAGGTAAATCCTTCCTTAATTACAGCAGCTCATTAACCTGATCTCCCAATGGGATGAAGGAAGATTTTTTTATCAGATATTATGTTCTTAAAGTAAGATAATGGACATTTTTTCTTATTCTAAAATGTTTTCATGTATCAAAACAAGAGAAAATGCACTGATTTAAAGAACAAATGTTGCTGTGTAGAAACAGAAGCCAGTGGTTCTGTGTTTCCGATGGAACAACATGTGATGGCTGCTTGTGAACAGGACCAGATACATCTTTACATAAATAAATCAATGAAAAAAACTTACAATTTGCCATCACAGAAGGACCTGACCAGACACTGGTCCTTCTTCACCACCAGCTCCTCGTTACAACTGGGGGACAACACCTGCAGGAGGATCAGAATCTGCTTAACGGTTTTAATCACACATGGAACATCACTTGGAAAAATGAGAAAACATAAGCAGATAAAAATGGGAGGAGGAGAAAAATTCAGGAACCATTAAGGGAAAGAGTAAAAGTGCTTAGAACCAGAAAGTGTTCATCTGTTTACCAGAGCCATGAACCACTGATCAGAGTCCTCCACATTCTCTATGCTGCAGATCTGTCCCCGCAGCTCATCGTTCAGCCTCTTCTTGTCATCTTCCTCTTCCTCGCTGGATGAAGTGTCGTTCTCCTCATCAGCCCTGAAGTAGACATGAGAAAGAAGAACCTGAGTTTACATCCTGCAGGAACTGAAGCACAGTCTAATCAGGAAAAGTCCAGCGAATGCCTGATGTGCAAATAATCCTCGGCATACGTTGGAAAAGTTAAGGGTACATTTTGTATGAGTTATGAGCGCGCTGAAGTACGCTGAAGCACTCTGGCACACGTGGACATATGCTGAGTACGTCAAGAAGCATGCTGAAAATTTCCCAACGTATGCCAGCATATGCCATATGTGCGGCATAAGTTACAGTCAGATTATCTGGTGGTTGACAAACGTTAAGTGTCAGTTACTCATAAGTTGTGGCGTCTAGCTCATCTAAAACCTGTGAGTAACTTCATCCCCATCATAGGGTGAGCCAGAAGGTGAGTGATGGATCCTCCCTGCGTTCACGCCCACCACCAACACACTTCCTAGCAGACATGACGCTCAATCTGCTGACCCCAAAAACTTTCTTCCTTTTTATTTATTCGGTTTTTGTTGGGCGGGCAAACAAAGATACTGCCGTGGTGTTATACATAAGTTCGGCTGTCGTTGGACATCAGTTCTGGACTCGTTATGATTACTCTCTGTATTCGCCCAATATGAAAACGATCCATAGAAAGTTCAGCGTATGCTAATATTTAAGCAGATTCTGGGACATCGGGCATATCTGGATAAATCGGTACGGTGTGACATTAGAAAACTAAAAATGAGTGCAGCTGTAAGAGACATTTATTATAATAAAAAAAGGCAAACTGTGGATTAAAATGGCCATAAACTGAGCAGAAAAGGCTGTTATCCTACAGCTTCAGCCACCCCCCCGCCCGCCTGCTGGAACAGTTTAAGGTACTTCCACTGAGGATCATCAGAACTCCCTGGAGTGTAAACTACAGCAGCCTCCCCTCCTTCCAGCTTCTCCAACATAAACAATCACCATTATTCCTCTCTGGGATCTTCTCTTTCCTATCCTAAATGCTCTGAATCTACAAAATGCTCCTTCAATCATATGGATCACCTGAAGGTATCCCCTAGTGCCACCTTACCTGAGTCAGTCTCACCAACACACAGTGACCCGGAGCAACGTTTAAGACAAATCCATGTCCGACAGGAGGAAGAAAGAAAAGAGCAACTCTCGGACTGAACCACAACGACTCGACACTTCAAGCTACAACAACAATAGAGATGCTCAGAAAATGTCCACACCAGAGGAGCACCACCCGCCTCTTCACTTATAACTTCTGGGATGTTATATATGATAAATCATGGGTCTTCAACGTTTTTCAGGACAAGAACCCCAAACTGATGGCGAGATGGAGCGGGGACCCCCTAATTATATATATTGGATGAAATGGTGTATTATCAAACTGGTCCTATAGTCACTCTATTACAGATGGAGTAATGTAACTAAAGTAATCCTTCCCTGGGATTATTAAAGTATTTCTGATTCCTGGTTGATGGGACAGGTGTTGTGAATGAAACGGTGCCCAGGTTTGAAAGAGCTCCTGTGTGTCGCTAAATGTGAGCATTGATGACTGAAAGACATTCTGCCTCCATTTATCTGTTTACTACAGTGTGTTTAATTCATGCTTATTTGTATTTAAAGAATTTCCAATTGGTGGAAAAATTGCAGGGGGGAATATTAAAAAAAGAGTGTTATCAACCAAAACTTTCGCGACCCCCATGCAGTACCTCCGTGGACCCCCTAGGGGTCACGGACCCCCTGTTGAAGACCTTCGCCCTAAATCATGGACCAAGAAAAAAAATTATTTAAGTTTGCCATATGCTTCAAAAACACCAAAAAGTAATTGAATAGTTCTTTTCTACATAACTAAAGGGATAAATGGGTACTGACTATGGGTATGCAGGTCTGACAGGGTATGCTCATCTGACAGAACACCAGTGGTATGCTGGAGGTCTGGCGCTCTGCATATGTTAGTGGGATCATAATCCCGATGAACAGAGGATGTAAATAAAGCAAAGCTGCTCTCTAGTTTGAAGCTACAGAACAGAGCAGATAAACAACCAGATCACTAAAGCAGCAAAAATTGACAGCCGTTTGACCCAGCGGCCAAATTTCAGTACTTGAAACGCCTTCAGCGTGAACGCAGCATCCAATGGACACAAATGAGACCCAGCTCCCTGCGACCCTGACGGACAGACCTCAGATATTTTCAGGGAACAGAAGTAGAGCGGGGAAACTGAAGCCAAAGAGATGAAGCAAATGCAGGAAACTTTAAATCTGGCCTGATGAGCCACCAAACTAAGAATAATTCTATGCAATACAGTTCTATGCTCCTGCTAAGGTCTATACAGCCGCCTTCATACCTAGAACCTGAGCAGGTCACTCACTGGGTCGTGGTTCTGCTCCGACTAAAGCCATTACATTACCGGGTGAGGTGGTGTTCATGAGAAACGTTTACAGTGACAGGTTGCCTAGCAACAGTTCTGACTCCTGTCATTATTTGATATCATCCACAACAACAGCATCCCTGAAACAGGCTGGAAGCATTTTATCAAGCAAAGGGGCAGACGTCTAACGATGGCTGGAAACCAGTCAGACCTGGAAGAGGAAGAACGCAGAGAAACAGGCTGTCCTCTCACTGTGAATCAAGCTGAAACTGCTGGATTTTGCTAACCAGACATCATTTCCAGCTTAAATTCTTCTTTGAAGGTTGGTGGATCAGTTAAAGCCACTTGGTTTACATCACTGCCATCCATATTAGGTACATCCAGTTAAGTCTGAAAACAGCTGACCTGCTAATTTACTGGGACTTAATTGGTACAATGTTCTTTGATTTCCTTCAACTTGCAGAGCGAGTTCACTGGTTTTATTCATTTTTTCTGTATCAGCAATTAATAGATAAACTAAAACCCATAGAACTATAATTGGAGACGGAACTATGTAGAAAAAACAACCTTTCTGAGGTTTATCTAACGCATCGGCTCAGGTGCATCACAGCAGATATGAACAGGAGGCGGTGAAACCACAGCAGCAGACTTCTCCCCGCAGCGAGCGGGTAATGGTGAGCTAGCAAACATGTAGCCGGTTGGTTGGTTAGTAACTGGTCAGGAAGCATCAGTTCAGTGTTTTGGACTTGGCAGAGAAACCAAACCAGTGACAGTCTGATAAAAGAATCATCCTCAGGTGCTCAGCAGGCATCAGAGCCCTGCTACAGATGATAAAGGAGGATGAAAACCACTGATAACTCATTATTAAATGCTTCACACTACATCCACACATAGATGCAGGAGAGCTAGACTGTAGCCACCGCTCCCATGGGGCATGCCGACAGAGGCCAGACAGCTGTACCTCATTACAGCACATACCCATGGGGCCAAATGATACCGGCTCAGTTAGTCTGGTCTCTAGAAGCCCTACAGAACAAACATGGAATATTCTATATTGAAAAATCTACATTCCACTTCCTTTTTACAGACACCTGCAGGTTAGGGTTCATTCAGCTTCCCTCAATAGAAGGACCCGTAACCAGCTAAAGCTTTATCTCTCCTGACAGACGTCCTGTTGGCCTTTTAGCAGAGCCGTCTGTCCAGAGACGTGACGCTGATCTGCCTTAAAGCTTCAAACCATTTTCTGCAGACTGGCCTGCCCCCGCCCACCCCCCCCCCGATCCTGACGACTCCTGTAGTTTAAGCAAGTTTTTATGTTCAAGTTGTTCCTGTTCAAACATTCCTGTGACTGGCAGCGGATTGGTCAGACAGCCAAGAGAAATTGGTGACATCATATGATGTCATCAGCACATAAAGCGAAACCATTTCTCAGCATCATCACTCCTCGTCCACCACATGCAGCCACAGGATGAACGCCCCCCCCCCCCCCCATCCACAGCTGGAGCTCTTCTTCAGGAACAAAACCTCCAGGAAACAGAAAACCTTCAACTGAGGCTTCCACCTTCATCCTTTCTGGTTTTTAAAGTCACATCTTCTGAGGAAAGATGAGCAGCTAGAGGGAAGCAAGGTCTTCCTTTCCATCCTCATCTCACTGAGGTTGTTAATACCTGGTCTGATAGCCTCTATCTTCTAACCAAGCAAACTAAGAGCAAACACTCACACAGCCTGGGATGAACGCCGTCCTCCTCGGTTGGATTTTTTGCCGATGACCGGGGTGCCGAAATGCTCCGGGTTGGTCAGCGGCAGCTGGTCCAGCGTCTGGGTGAAAACGTTGCAACATTTAGGAGTCATTCAGACTCTGGTTAGAAGCTCAGCTTCGTCTGGAGGAAACTCACCTCACTCTCTGCAAAATGTCGCTCACCCTTCAGACACAGGGATGTCCGACGAAGGGTTTTCTCATCACCGTCGTCAAAAACTGAAAGACAGAAGAGTCAACATGTTGGGGGCGGGACCTTTCAGCAGCAAATCGACAGTAATGGACACTAGAGGAGTCGGCAGCAAACGAAAGTTGACAGCAAACTCTTGCTTTGCTGCCTCTGCCCTGCTAGAGAGCGGCTGGTGTTTAGAGCAGAGCTAATAATAAATATGTAAATATCTTGCTAAACATCTAAAGCTAACGCTCCGAGGAAGATGGCGTTTTCCTGCTGCCTAGTCTGGTTTGATACTGAGCTCTGTGTTATTTTACAGACACACAATTGCGCTTCTAGAGTCTAATGACTTTCAGTAAACTTTAGCTTCCAAAGATTCTAATCATTTTAGGAAACAAACATTTGAGGCTAATGCTAGCCTGCTCCATAAGATCTTTCAGAGGAACATAAATGTTCTTCTACAGCAACAGAGCAAATCCAAGGCGAAACGTTCCCGCCGGATTTACTCCCAGACCCACAGCTGCAGGATTTGGTTGATTGTTAAAATCGAAGATGACATCAGACGTGTTTAGCAACAGGCTAAACATTAAACATAGTTAAAGGCAGATGATTTAGATATCGTACCACAATTGCAGAAAACAACTCGTGAAGTTGGAGCAGCTAGAAGAGCGAGGGGCACGAGAACGCTGGGACACTATTCCCACCTGGATCTCCGCTCTTTTTGGCCCTCAGGTCCCTCCGTTGCCGGACTAAACTCGCCCCCACTTCCTCACCGCCTCGGCCGTATCTAGACCCACAGCTAGTTCATGGTTCTCTAGTGTAGTGGCGTGGAACATAACATAGCACAGACCACGCTTCAATACTGAGCATAAATGAAAAATGTCTGCATCAAGCTCACTGCGACACACTGCTGCAGGAGGACAACCAGCCCTTTTAATGTCTTTATTTCAAACCAGATACATTTCATTCTGATGAAGGGAAAGCTTTGCATGTAAACACAGCTACCGTCTGCTGTGACTGACAGTGGATTAGTCAGACAGCCAAGAGAAATAGTGACATCATATGATGTCATCAGCCCATAAAGCGAAACCATTTCTCAGCATCATCACTCCTGCTCCACATGCAGCCACACTGTCAGCAGCTTTATGTTACATTTAGTCTGCTGGTACTCTATAGATGTTTTAATGCCGTTTGCAAGCGACAAACGGCAAAGACCTACTGCTGTAACCATAGCAACCACCTACAGGCAATAAAGAACACAAATGTCTGTGTTTTTAACCATATTTAAACAGGCGAGGTGCTGGAACGCTTCGACAGCGCTCCCACACCCTAGCTAACGTGAAACGATTAACCTACTGCTACGGCTGAATTATCCCTTTAAAATAGCTTTTATAAAACAGAAATTAAATTAAAAAAAGGAGAACCATTAGAAGTTTTTTAAAAATAAACATCGGTCCAGTTTTAGTAATTGGACAGGTGCTGATAATTGATTAATGATTAATGTCAGATGCTTGCTGGTCAGAGCATAGAGCATGGAATCCAGAGGTTCTGAGTTCAAGTCCCACTCCTACAGACTGCCACTCTGGGTTTCTGAGCAAGACCCTTAACTCCACCCTGCTCCCTGGGTGCTCCACGCCTGCTGCTCTTCAAGGGGAGGGGTTAAATGCAGAGAGGGAATTTCTCCAACCTGAGATCAATAAAGTTTGATTATTATTCGATTATTATTATTATTACATGCATGCATGTCCTTTACATGCTCATCTAGTTGTGTAGAAATAAGTCTTCAACTGGAAAAGCTGCCAACCTTACGCATCTTTATGTATTAAATAACAGACTTAAAGAGGATTAATGAAGACGTTAGCATCCTGCCTCTGTACTTTTCTAACAGCTTAATGTCAGAAATCTGATCAGTGCTCCTTAAAAAGACAAAAAAAAACTTCCCCTTATTAACATTTTCTAAGGGATAATGCACAAAATGCAGCCAACAGCTAGAAAGCACTGTAGAAAAATGCTCAACTACAGATTAAGCCAGAATGGGTTTTTTTTGGTTGTCTTTTAACAACCTGTCAGCATAGCCGCCTTAGGAAAGCCATGCATCAGGAAATTAGCATCTAGCAGGCAGCAGGCATTACTGGATGACCGACTCCACTTCAGCAGCTTTCAACTTATTTTTCTCAAAACAAAAGCCTTTTAGGCACTGATGTGAACCCATATAAGCCTTTTAGGCACTGATGTGAACCCATATAAGCCTTTTAGGCACTGATGTGAACCCATATAAGCCTTTTAGGCACTGATGTGAACCCATATAGCCTTTTAGGCACTGATGTGAACCCATATAAGCCTTTCCCACTGGCTGAAAAAAACGGTTTAAACCTGTGAACAATGGGCTTTTAGTGGCAGTGGGAACAGATGCGTGTCTACCCGGGTCAAATGACCCAGCAAGCGACCCGTGTTAAAGATCTCCTTGGAAATCTGGAAATACCACAGCCGGGTTGATTCGCTAATTTACGTGATACCATTGAACCTAACATAGAGACGTCAACACGCCGCGCCAGTCGCTTCTGATCTAACGAGCAGAACCGACTCTGTTTCCATTGGATAAACATGGAGCAGCTCTGGTGAGACGGATTCAGACGGATAATAGAGAGAAACAATAAAGCACACCGACTACGCCCTGGCTTCCTGACATGTTGCTCCATTGTTTACTTTCCTGATTTCTGTCACACTGGTGACATCATCAGCGCTAACCTAGTGGTGTCACCAGACAGCTGCAGGAGGGCAGTGGCCATACTTAATTAGCCAATGGGAAGGGAGCTACATGCTGATTGTTAGCGGGTCAACCATGTTTGAAAAATATGCGTTGAGCTGCTATTTTCAGTGGGAAAGAGGCTTCAGAGATCCGTCCCCCTGACCTCCAGTTCTAAGGTCCCTGAGCATCATAACATCTGTAAGCCTATAATGGAGATTGGTCTTCACATAAAGCATTTGATTTTCATCAATCTGAGCAGATTATCTCTCCAGCACCTCCTCAGGCCACCAAACTGACTGAGATTCCCCGCCATCACTCACCTACGGTGTAGAGGCTGGCGTCCGTCAGCTTACTGATGACGGCTTCGCTGCTCAAACCCTCATTGGTCTTCACCTCCACAGTGGAGCCCACCTGAACACAGAACACGTCTTCAATCTACAGTCATGCAGTTAAACAATCGACCTTTGATGGACTGGCAGTGGATTGGTCAGACAGCCAAGAGAAATTGGTGACATCATATGATGTCATCAGCACATAAAGCGAAACCATTTCTCAGCATCATCACTCCTCATCCACATGCAGCCACAGGGTGGCAATCCACCAGAAAACATTTAGGTTTTCCTGTAGAACAGGAGCTGAAAGTACAGTTCAGGATTATTGGGCTGATCAGAAACATTCAGCAGAGTTCATGTTCTTCACGCCGCGCTGATTCTTAACAGAGCTTCTATATTTAAAAACGTTCAGAAAGAAAAAGAATCGACTTCCTGTGTGTCAGAGAGGCTTACCCTCAGAGGCCCTTTGACCTGGTCGTCCTGCACCACCTGGGACGTGCTTTCACCTTTCAGGGTCACCTGGGGGCAGAGAGGAAGGACAGAAGGAGGTCAACAGTTTCTTCTCACTTTGCTTTGCCAGGAAATAAAAGATGAGGGTTATCTGCTAGCTCGCAGGAGCCTGATGTTTCTCTGCTGCCTTTAAAAATACTAATAAAGGAAACTTATTTATTGTTGTTTTCTTTAACTTGATTTATAGTTGTGAGAAATGTGAGATTTTTTGATCGTTTACTTTAGGTTTCACTGCTGTTCCAAGCAAAAGAAGAAATATGAGATAATTTCTAAATTTCCTACAGAAACTGTTTCCAAACTGGTTTGGAACCAGTGAGCTGCTCTATGAACAGTTTGGTTTATCGAATCCATCAGAGGAAAAATCCCTCATATTCTGTCCCATGTGTTCAAACCAAACCATTTAACAGAGGAACGTTCCGCCCAGTTAGAGCAGCTTAAAGGTTAACATCAGATAGACGTTAATATTTCACTGAAAGGGAATATGATGCTAATTCTAAGCTGTATTCATCAGTTTTAACAGTTTTCTGTTTAGATAAACTTAAATCAAACTAGGCTTCAACTAAGGATTACTTTCATTTTTTCAATGAATAATTAATAATTGAATAGCCTAAGATTCTTTAAAGAAGATTTTTTTTTTTACAGAATTAAACCAGGTGAAACTAAAACTTTCCACTCCGGGAGTTCTGGATAGAGCAGATTGATAGACAAAAGCTCTTTTTTTCTCATCTTAATGCAAAATACGTACATATTTCTTTTACAAACTTGTTATAATTACTGCTTTAAATGGGTTTTCTCTGTCAGCTAAAGGCAGGTTTTAAAGTCTCTATATTCCAGTTAACGATTAAACGATTATTAAATTAGTTGACATTGTTTCAATAATCAATTCAATTAATCCAATTAGTTGCATCAGCCCTAAATCAAACACTTAATAAATGGCGATGTTTGCATGGAGCCAAACACAGGATCTCCGTTTGTAAAAGTGAATCTGCTTTGACTGACAGCAGTTAGCAGTAGATGAGCATAAATCCTGAGCTCTGCAGACATGCAGAGCTTTGGGTTCTTTTTTAACTGGTGACCAACAGAAACATCTAACTGACACCCTGCAACCAACTAGTAAGCAGCTGGAGCCGTACCCCACCTATACAGATATGTGAGGGCTAACCCAGTCCGAGTCTGCTGGTTTGCTTCGGTTCATCACAACTGAACGGCTACCAGTAAAACGCACTCCTTTAAAAATGAATCATTGTCAGCATGTTGAGCTCAGAGGCAAAGCTAAATAAATCAATGTTCCTTCCAGCTTCAGGGACCAGAAGATAAACGCTGCTATTAGCCACTCTATTTAACTATGATCTATAAGGAGTTCAGCAACAAGAGCAGCACCAGGACCAACTTTAATCCCTTCTGATCAGTCACTCCGCTGTTTAGGACATTTTAAACATTTCTATGCTCTTTCAGATTAACTTCTCTACTTTCTAACAGAGGAATCCAAACATTGGCCACGTTAGGGGTCATTTATCCTTTTATGGAACCAGACATTGAGAGCAGCAGAAAAAGTAAAGGGACGTTTCACATCAATGTCTTAAAACAAGTAAGTTCACATTGATTTTCTATAAAACTCTGGCCTAGATTATTTCATCTTTCAAGAAAACAAACCAGCATCACATGGTGAAACCAAATCTGATTCAAGAACCGTGTCCCGTTTAAAGAAGAGGGATCCAGGAAGCAGAAACGTTCCTCGTTAATCTTTGAACATTGTGTTTTATCTGCAAGAAAGTCAAACCACCGAGGATTGACGAGTCAGAGCGATGTCAGATCTAATATTAACTCCTTTTTAATTTTTCACTACCATACCATACCAACTTTATTTATGAAGCACTTTATGCACCGGACAGGACCAAAGTGCTGTACACAATCATAAAATAAAATAAAATTATAAAATAGAGAAAAACGAGTGTAAAATACATATTAGTATACAAAGAGAATAAAACAAAGTAAAACCTCTCAAATTGTGCCAAAAGCCAAGGAAAAAAGATGAGTCTTAAGAAGGGACTTAAAAACAGCGAGAGAAGAGGCGTGTCTTCTGCTCAGAGGCAGATCGTTCCACAGCTTAGGAGCTGCCACAGAAAAAGCACGGTCTCCTCTGAGCTGCATTTAGTCTTTGGGACCCTCAGAAGCAACTGATCAGCTGACCTGAGGGATGGGAGGGGTGTAAGAATGCAACAGCTCAGACAGATAAGAAGGGGCAAGGCCATTAAGAGTTTTAAAAACAAATAAAAGAATTTCCACTCATATCCAGACCTTCAAAAATGATTCAAACCCAATTTTCCAGACATTAAGAGAGAACGAGACCTGGATAAAATGGCTAAAAGCTGCTCAGTAAGAAGAAAACAAATTCATTTTGAATTTGGAGATTCTTCCACCACATTATTCAGTAAAGCTCCTGTCACACCTTGCTGATTTAGCCAGCGTCTGCCTGACATCCCAAACATTTCTATAACGCTGGCATACGCTGAACTTTCTATGAATCATTTCAATATTGGGCGTATACATAAAGGATTCATAACCAGTTCCGAACTGATGTCCAACCACAGCCTAACTTCTGCGTAACACATGACAGCATAATGCCCAGGAAGTGATGCATAGTGTCCTGAGGGGCGCAGAGAAAGATGTATTTTATCGCGG